GACCTTGACGGAACTCATGTCCCTTCTGCCACTTCAGTGTTGCAGAAACACCTTAATAACGAGTGCCAGATAGCACGAAACCTAGGTCCAAAGCTTCCTGACGATTGCCTCCAACCATCTAATAATAAAGAACACAATTTTCTACCAAGGAAAATTTATGTGTCTTGGATAGAACGATCTTTCCAGCTTCTAAACCTTTTCCACACATTTAAATGAGAGCTTGTTTAAGTTTCCATTTATACTTATATCAGTCAGATCTGTCTTTGAATATTCAAGTTACCTTTTTTCACATATTTTTGTAGTATCTAAGTAAATAATCAATAACAGACAGAACTTTACCAATTACCGAATCACCAGATTTCCTCAAGAATGAAAAAAATATCTGCTACTTAACAAGTAACTTACTAAATACTTAAACTCATGAAATAAACGTAAAATATACTCAAGCAGGATGAAAATGCTTTTTACGTAAGCGTATACCCCTATTAGTGTTTCGAAAAATTTTCTGCAATAGATTCAGTGATTATAATTTACTAGAATGAAGGTTGGCAGTAGCGTAATTTCTTTTTTTTTTCATTTCTAGTTAAAAGGTGCTGTGTAGCAGCTGATCTTATCAACTGTTGGTATGCACCCGTATGTGACTCCAAAACAACTTTACACAGAAGAAAAAAGCCTGTTTGTTCACCACATCTTATGCAGTGAGGGAGACATCTAGACAACAAACACCATCAATGGGGGAAATATGAAGTTACCTTTTCCACTTATCTAGGCAGTATCGTTTCAACTACAAGCGGCACAGATGACGGATCAGAAAAGTAAGACAGTAGTTTATTACTCTGAAAATAATGTGGAAATCTGCTGCACTCTGCATAAAGAATAAGATCCGGATTCTCAACACCAATGTCAGGTCAGTCAGTGCTTCTATATGGTTCAGAGACTTGGAGTGTCATCGACACCTGTCTTGGTTGGCTTGACAGTGAAGATCAGATAGCCAGAAAGCTTAAGCAACAAGAAACTCTAGCAACAAACCAACTATGAACTTATCAACCAACAAATAAGCAAAAGGAAATGGAGGTGGAATGGATGCTTTCTGAGGAGACAGTTAAGTGGCAGACACCACGCGTCAGGCCGCCGAGTGGTACCCGAATGGAAAACGACTAGTTGGTCGTTTGAGGGTGACAGGGGGGATCGCGTGAGGAGGAAGCCAAAATGTTAGTGGGAATTGTGGAGCCAGCTTGGAGGAAATACAGAGAAAACGGAAATCGCGATGTCCTGCTGAAGCGCTGTCCCACTCAGAACTCATGGGAATATTATTAGTGTAATAATATGCTGTCGACAAAATCTGCTCATCCTATGTCCAATAATATAAATTGCTGGACCTCTGTATAAGTAAGCATTTTGTCTAGTAACCAGAGGTAGAAATGAAATATTTCCTTATTTCGGATATTTTGTACAGCTGTTGTCACTTAATGTCAACAGAATTTTATGAAATTTTATTCATATTGTGATTATCCTCGGCTTCTCCTTGTTCTTTAGGCTGATTTCAATTTAACCGAAAAAACTAAAGTATTTCAAAATGCATAGAGTTGTTTCATAGACTGTTGGCACCATAAAATGCTGTTTTGATCTCTTTGAATTATTTAGCGACACGTATTCTCACAAAACGTAATCCAGCAACTTAAATATTCCAAGCAAATAAAGCTTCTTAGTCTCAATAAAATAAACAAGAACATTTAGAGGACAAAATCAAATGTGCACAAATAAACTATTGTTGTATCATTGTTGAACCACATAACTCCAGCAGTATAACTACTGACTTCCATTCAACCTCATTTAGGAAGTGTATGCGTTCTAGTGATGTTTTTATCTGGGATCGATGGTTTACCTTGTTTTCAATGTCATTCTGAACAAAATTGGCATATTCAGCAGTCTGTTCAGATGACGTTAGGAATTCTGTTCCTGTAGTCAGTTTAGCCCTTCCTGAAATCCAGTACTATGTGGATTTACTCCGGTTTTGATCATTGGGTATTTCAATACAGTGTCAATAAAATGAAGATTTCAGGCAGCACAGTAAATGATTCCTATTCAAATTAATCTCTACATCAGTGCCACTTTGTCTTATGAAGTCGAATCTCATATATCTGATGGAAATATAAAGTAACTGTACTCACCAGTCAGCAGGGCGTATCTGCAACCTCGAAGGAACTCATGTCCCTTCTGAGATTCGAACCAGCGTCACCCAGTGCTACGGTCAGAGACGTTACCACTGAGTTATTCAGGCCCGCAATTGACCCCTTGTAGGACTGTACTGGATATTTTTGATTGGACAGTTACATTGAAAACTTGACTGATAGAATCCAGTCTGCACCAAAGATAGGTTTAGATAAACACATTACACACTTGTTACTGACTAGTGTCCAATCAAAAATAATGTATTACTCATAATTATATAGTACTTTTTTCAAAGTAATTAAAACAGATTTTTTCTATAGAAACGAAGAGATTCTGCCCTTCTTCCAGTCAAACTGAGTTGATGTTTGAAAGTATCACTACACTAATTACTTAAACTTCTACAAATGGAGGAAATATATGGAAGTGTTAACAAGCTAAACAGAATCGGAATTTTAGCAGAATACTACGAAACACAAGTAAGAATTCTAAAAATCACACATGCGGTGACTATATTCGTCAAACAGACTTGATACAGAAGTTCGAACGCATACTTCTGTCGATAACATCAATATACATCAGTAGGAATGAGGAGAAGTGTGAAACTTCTTCATGCAACAACCACCAAAATATGAAGTCTCACGATACCCTGAAGCTTTCTTGCTGCACCAAACCCATGAACTAACTCTAATTTACACTGCGGTAAAATTCTTTAGGTAGCAACTGCGGTCCATCTTTCAGTCCACAGTAGATTCCCCTAAAGCGCCAACAGACGGTATGCGCTTGTTGAGAATCTACCTGACGTACAAGCTTATTTATCCGTTTATGAAAAGTACTCACTTCGATCATTTCTAAGAGATGACTTAAGAGTGAATAAATGCAACAATGATTACTCCGCAGTAGATAATCCTCAGTGTTGATTAAAATTCCTGTATATCAAACTCAGTATCAATGTCTCTGAATACAATATTAGGTGATACAGACTCGAATCTTACTGGGAAATCATTCCATTCGAGGTAGCAGGTACAACTTACTGAAGCGTGCCAATAGGCACAAAATCTAATGATTACTTCCAACCCTCCAAGAAGAACACGAGTAATTCTGCATCAGTTAGTACTTGACACTAGTACCATCATGATGACAGCTATAAACTGGCGTCACTCGTGTACAAATAACTAAGCACAAATTATCACTATTATGACACTGGAAAATTAAATATTTTCAATGGTTTTCTGAAGAAAAACCTTTAAGACCTGTAGCTTCATGATCATTATTAAGTCACTATTGTATGGTGTTTGAAAGTCACTGGATTTTTGAATACGCAGCACACGTAATCATACAATTATTAACTAGCATTTATTCATATGGACATCTTGACAAGTTTTATTCACCATAATGAGACAGGATATGGATATTGATATATTTTATGTAAAAACACCCTAAATAACTGAACAAATTATTTGAAATATTTTGCATACATTAAAAAGTTGTTTAACTAAAACAGATAGGTATATACAAGTTACGTCAACATTAAACGTGACTTGATACAAGCCTTTAACCTTGAGTATAATTTGAAATATTACATCTCTACCGCGTTCCAGGCAATCTAATCAGAGGAGCTAGACTACGTCTTCTATCAGTACGTGAAGCGGTAGCAATCAACACAAGAAAACTTAGTGTCTGTATCCGGAAGAAGTATGTCAAACAGCTTTGTTTACCTTGGTGTACAATAATGTCAACAGATCCTCGATAAACACTGGAACTTTAAATTCCTATCTCATTATTTTTTTTCTTTTGTCTGATTGACAGACGTTTACTTCAGACCATTTACGACTTCAAGATCTTTCTTATTACATCTATTATTACCTTAAGTTCACGTAATGCTTTTCAAACTGGTTATTATATTTACACAATCCTGTTCATTCCATTTCATTAAGTTGATTATTATGTTATAATCGTTCACTAATAGGTACAATAGAGTCTGCACCACACCATTGACATAAACAGTCACATCACTGAATTATTTCACCTCATTTTACCTCATGTTCTTATTACATGGGATAAAAACCACAACATTTGTATTGTGAAATAGAATATGGACAAGTGAAAAGAAAGACTAATAACAGATTCGATATTCATCAAGGTTATGCTGATTACATGTAACAAGGATGACTCAGCACAACTGCTAACACCCTGGGATATAAATCTGGATACACGAAAAAGAACGAACACAAAATGAACCTTACATATATATATATATATATATATATTTAGAGAGAGAGAGATTATTAACTGAGAAATCCCAGACAGAATACTGTATGAAGATAACAGTATCAAGAAATTCAGCCTGTTTCATTTGGTACTCAAGGTATTATCTTATCGCATACACCTATGCAATGTTATCTATTAGTTTTATTTAATGATAGGCCAGATATTATCTGATGCATAATTTGCATATATATGAACTAATACAACTCTACTCTATATTAACTTTCATCAATCGATCATTTTCTAAATATTCATCGGGATGTAAATATTGCTTATTAATTTAAAAAACTGTATATAGTTGAAAAGGCTACGAAATAGAATGAATCTTTATTTTCGTTCCTTAACACTCTGAGTGGAACACAGAGCTACAAGCTTTGAAGTGTCAGTTGTGGTTTTATTTTAACAAAGTGGAGTTGCGAGTCTCTCGTTCGGCAAACAAGGCTAGGTCTACGAATGTGTTGGTCGGGAATCAAACCACGGACACCCAATGACTTAATATATTCTTACCTAACTGAAAGGAATAAACTGCCCAATGTGTACGAGTTGTATAATATTGGGGAACCTTTCACTGTTATGGCTCTCCTGATCACTTTGATGTCAGTCCACGAGGAAAAGAAATTTACTAATGTAACAGTGTTTTATCAATATATTCGCGACTGTATCTTTTTTGGCTTAATTAATTAGCAAATTCCTGTTGTAAAAGACAGCTCTCTACACAAAATACATCATATGATCACTTATAGGTATTTGTTCGATGCAAATAAAAACACATTCTATAGGTTATCACATAAATGTGAAGGTAACAATAGCGATAACAACAAAAGCACAGTCTGTAAAGCAAAATAAGCTATTTTAAAGTGTAAATCAACCATCAGTCGTGTTAATGAAGATTTAAACGTGTACAATAATAGAACGAAAATTTATTAAAATTGGAAAAAAAATGTATTAGGTGATTCCGTCTCTTTTTCTTAAAAGACAATGATATTTATAAGAAATAAATAATAATAATAAGTGGTGGTTTATTTCCCTTTGTCTTTAAGACAATGATTGATGAAGATAGTTTTAGTCAGCTGTGATGATTGAAACGTTATAGACAGAGAGAAAAAGTATCCACTGCGACAACAATTCATTTTGATACTCTTGGAGCGTATATTGGTATGATCCTAAAAATAAAAAAGGACATATTTTATTTAGCCAGTAATTTGTATCATTCTTCAAAGGTATGATGTACATATTTAAAAGACATATGGATTATCATGACTATTCAGCTATGCGACGAGCTAGTTAAAATAGTCGGCTTACTAATATTCCAGTGCTAACAGTAGGAACTAGAAATGATTAAAAGATCTTATTTGAGGCGGTATAATACTTATTATAATAAAGGTTTCTGTATTTCTCAATGAATGGAAAATAAAACGATATTGCATATCACATTCGTGTTGATTTTGTCACTTCGTGGGGGAGGGAGGTGTTTTGATACCATAACAGATGTACTATTACCTTTGTTATTTGATTTAGTGATCTTCATTGGTATTTTAACTTTCAACATGTCCTTTTAACTTGACCTAAGTCTATTCTCTCACCCCTTAACTCTTTGTTTTATATATGCTGAGATTTTGTAAATTCCGGTTTAATAATACTTTGATAAAGCTATTAGCAGCATTAAATAGTGAAACGTCAGTAAAAACAATATCGTTTTGTTTTTCATTCATTGGGAAATACAAAAACCTTTATTATAATGAATATCATATACCCAATGCCCAAATTTTTTCAAACTGTTAAAAGTGAACTTGGTTTGGACAGCTATAGTACTTATTTTATTTCAGAAAATAAAAGTTACAGCAAGCAGATAAGTAGATAAACGCATTCAGTATCTCCAATAAGAAGATCAAATACACCCACAGTGATTTCACTCAACTATTAAATGGATTCGGTAGACTGAATCAATCAGTTAAATTTGGATCAGAAGACAATGATCTGTTCAATTACAGAAATTCAACTGGACACAGTAAAACTGATTGAATTTCAATTAACAGAACACAACCAGTCTATAGTAGAACAGTTTTATTCGATAAAACACTCAGTAATGACAATACAGTACTACTTACTTACGTATGACATTTTGAACACACCTTACTACTTATGTTTCAATGACAGTGAGGTCAATTAGGTAGGGCAATCCAGTAGATCAGGGTCACTTGGGTTATCGAAATGTAGGAACATAACTGAGTGTAGAATGATTGAACCCAAAAGGATGACTTACACAGAAAAACACTTAACAATTGCAAACCATGCACTAACCACACACAATCACACAATAGGGTCAGACAAAGCTGCAGTTTTAAAAAGCAGAATAATTAGGCGAGGAAGGGGGTGTAATAATCATCACTGAAGCCTTTCTTTTATCTAATTTACACCTAACACGTACACTGGAAACAATACAACACGAATACTAGAGATATAGAAAAAAGTATCACCAATAAAATCATAAGAAGGCATAAGAAGTAATGGAACTATGTAAACAAAATTTCAGAGTGATGTGATTATCATGATATTTGGAGCGATGGATTGTGTTCGAAGCGTCATCAGTAAGTAATACTGTATCACAGTATATTTTATCAAACAAAATTATTTTGTTATGCAATCATGCCCTACCGATATGCTCGAATTCTTTTCACACATCAAAGTAGAACCATCTTGTTAATTTATCGGCTAATTACATTATAGTAGGATGTAACTTATGTATACAGTGAAGACATTTTCAATCTTTGGGAGAGTTTTCGGTACCGCATATAGACACTGTCTGTTACGAATGTTAACACAAGCAATTAATCAAAGCATTCACTCAGATTAGAAAACATATTATTTGTTATATTTACATAATTAATTGCTGTCATATTTCGCCTTCTTGCTAATACATCCTAGTGGATTATTCATAAGTGACAGTTTATCATACAATTCGAATAGTTTACATTCTATCTGCCAAAATACGCAAATTACAAACAAAAAAGAACTCTCCAGAAGTACTCACTCATGATCCCACCAGGGATAGAACCGAGCACCTACAGTGCGGTCTACTAGGTCGAGTGTGAGGACAAATACTCGCCAATGACATTGGTTGGAGATTGCGCGGAAAATCGCAAATTGATAGAAGTCATAATTCAAGGACCATTAAACTCCATCATCGCAGTGGTTGAATGGTCAGCGAGCTCACTCGTGATCTGAAGCTCCGATCCCCCATGGGGTCATGGGTGCGTACTTAGGGAGAGTCCCAAACTAGAAGAGGATAGACATCTATGATACTGGGTCGTGACAATATCAGAATCTCTATAAAAAAAGCCATAGTCTACATATCTTTTCATTATTTGTTTAATAGCGGCTTTCAGTAGGATCCATGATGCCCATTTCTCCCAATTTCGGGCCCTTCATCTGGATGAAACTGCATCTCGAGTGAGTGAGTGAGTGATGGTGTTCCCGATGAGACTGGAGCTCAGAAATGATCATGAATTTCGTCGCTAGCTAAGGTTAACCAAAAAACATCGTTTTATTCTTTAGACATAGTCGAAGCATCTGTACTGGGCGTCGATATCTCAACACAGACGCCGAACATTTTGGTCCAACATAACCAATCAGTGATCAAACTTGAAATCAACTATTAGGCTAATTATATGTTTTAATATCTACCTTCCAAATTACAGGTTTCATTTTCAAAATACATAATTTCAAAGCACTGACAACTTAAAGGTAAGATATAATTAACAGATATAGAGACTTAGACTGTAACAACTAGAAATTTAGTCAATTTTTAAAATTTTATTTTATTACATATCGTTCCCAACGGAACATGCAACCTTAAGCTTGAGTTTTGAATTTTCAGTAGCAGAGGTGTTGATAAGCTATGGCCCAGCCTTCGCGATTCATTGGGCTAACTACCGGCTGGCTAGACGGGGACTCTGCGTGAGTGTGGTTAGCGATTATACTTCCGCTGAACTACGAAGTAAAATTATCACAATATATTTTCATGGGGGAAACTTACAAAGCTAACAATGCTCCCAAGAAGCTTATGCAGGCGCAAACCAGAAACACCGACCCTTTGAATACGCTTATTGTCGAAGCATATATAATCGGCAGGACTGTAGCGCTGATCATAATTCCAAGACGTTCGATCACCGCAATTATGGACATAATTAAACCTAAAAAAACCATGAAGGAGAATTAATTATTTATTCATTCGAATCAAAAGTTTTGTGCAATACTTGTACAAAATGCTGAACTTAACAATGTAATAGAGCAATGACCAAAGGAAAAGAGAAATAAACGGTTATATACGCATGAGATGCATTCAAAAGAGCTCTCATTACTTCATGTTACTTTCCAAAAGTGGGGAAAGGAAGAAATTTCAGCGCGCTCAGCATTGATTTCGATTCTAATGCCAGTCTCATCAACCCTCGGTCGTCACTCATGAAGTAGTGACACACCAAAGGATGACAACTTAAATGAACCATCTTTCATCCCAAGGTACCATTACACAGCGTGACCACTACCACGCTTTTTCCATACGACTCTAGGATAATAAACAGTGAAGGGTATGGCAGATGCGTGGCTGATAATAGTAACACAGGTTCAAGTTATCAAAATTGGCGCCCATCGATGACAAAACTTACTGAAGGACAACCTCTGTCATGCACGAACATATGCGGTCAGACTTCAGTACTACTTACACGACGGATTATTTTACGGTGACAATGTTGATGAAACATACTATCCTTTGAGAGGTTAGATTTTACAAATGTAGAGTAGGACTGCGTGCACCAAATGGTTACAAAACAGGTGCTTTTACTCACACAGTAACATCGCGACGGCACCAAACGTGGCCCAAGTTGGTTTAGTTTCTTTTCTTTTATATTTTATTTCACATCGTCAGGACTGACACAACTGCCTATATTTGTGTATGACAACGATTCTTGCAATAGCCTTTAGCACTTGGATGGAGCAAAGCACATACATACCATACTTGCAGAAAATTAACGAAAGTTTGTTACAACGTGAGTCGAAATTTCTATGTCAGTTGCATTCTAATTACATAAATTAATTAGCAACATTATCTGAAAAAATTTACTGATACAATAGCGATAAAGCAAAAAATGACTCATAAAACTAAAATTATAGTCATTTGTCATAGTGAAAATGGAAAACAAATTTAAGTTAAGTCACATCTAGGTCTGAAAACTAAACATTTTATATTTATGGTGAAATACACATTCAAGGAAAACAACAAAATCGATGAGCGAATGTCAACGAAACAGATGCTTTCATACATCCTATAAATAAATGAATTATAACATGTATTAGTCGAATAAGTGAAATCAGATTTTAATAATGAAAGTGTCGTGATATTGTTAGTGGGATAAATTATTGTCAAACACCTATGCGAAATAAAAGTTACTTCGATGGATTCAGGTACAAGTTGTGTACCGAAAGCTTAACTAAGTAGTGTGATTGCAATTTATATATATATATATATATATTCAGCCATCAAACGCGCATTCTACGCCGAATTTCTTTTTCTCACTCGCCGAACATTTTCAATCCCTGTAACTACGATTAAAGGACGAAATTCTGTGGACTCTACTTCAAACTGTATCTACAAGTTCACCTGCAGCTGCGGTGACATATATATAGGTAGAACCAACAGAATGTTCCAATGTCGTCGGAAAGAACATGTTCCAAAATGGCTACTAAATCATACAGAAAATCCCAACGCGAGTAATCTGAATAGAAATCCAGCATCATCCATTGCAAAACACTTATTAATTAACGTCAGGTCACAAAATCAATATTTTAATATCTGTTTCACAATTATTTCACAAAACTCTAATTCAAGGTTGGTTAATGAAGGTGATGGAAGCACTTTGGATTAATCACATACAGCCTAAACTGTGTGTACAAAAAACAGTAGACTTCAATCTTCGACTACCATGGACTACATGACCTTTTAAATATGACTGGTCATTAGTATGTACTGTTTTTTATATAACTGAGTAATTGTCATGAACTTTATTGTTAACCATGTTAGTTGTAAAGCGGTTGTAAAGAAACTTCGAAATGATATGCCTTATTCAAATTTATCAAAGGGACTAATTGTTTTTAATTGAAATCTATAAAATAGATGACTAGCGTGAAATTAAAACCACATTCGCGCATGGGTCTTATAGCTTATTCAGTAGAACATTGGGTTAATATTCCAATGCCCATCGACTCGAATCATCTGGCAACTTAAGTCATGAGTCACCACTCATTGCATAAAACTAACTGAAAGCACTTGTACTATTCCTCGAATCATGCTTGGCTAGTCAGAGGTAATCCAAATACAAGAAACCTAATTAGCAGTTCATCTTATTTGGTTATATAGTTTAAACAACTGGGTAAAAGGGAGGCATACAAGAATGAATTACTTATTTTCAAAATTTCCAGTTCAAATGAAATTTATCAATGGTTCCCTCTGTAAACTCGAAATATTCTAATTACAATATATCCTATTGGCTTACAGCCATAAAACATGGCGAATATAAGAACAGTAAAGCATACACTACAAACTGAAACGCTTCATAAACTGATAATGTTCGCTTGCTCTTAGTTTAAATGCACACCACATTACTGAAACACACACAACGAAATTAGTGGGTTTCATTAATACAAACAAGTGTTCTGTCACACTGTAACGCCACTGTTTATGCACAGTACATAAACATGGTGAAGGACTCAAATTTAATTATAGAGAAAATCCCAGTATTCATCTAGTTATCGAAGTTTTCGTTATAAGAGTAAGCATTCTGTGAAAATACTTAGGAGACAGAAGAAACTGTAATTCGAAGCTACCGTCTGACTGATTACTTCTTGACAACAGCTTATAAGTTGGTTGGCGTAAAACAATAAAAGTATGTTTTTTAGAACGGAATGCATAAGATATAGTAGATTAAACAAAAAAGTAATTACTTCAATAAACATAGTTAATCGAATTCAAACCTTGGTTAGAAACTTCTGTCCACTTGGATAACATTGTTCGTAGAATGGATATTTGAAGACTCTTCGTAAATCTTGGTATTGTAGCTATGAAGCATTAAAAAAGAAAACAGATTTATATATGAGCACGAGCGAAGACAATGTAAAACATACTTCATAACTAACAGACATATTCCTATCGAAATTATGAAAGAATGTATTACGTGTACACACTTCCTTATTTATGTCTACGATTAATTCTTCCAAAAAGAAGCCATCATGAAATCAGTGAACACAACAGACAATAAAACCATTTAAAAGAATTATGAAAACGACTAATGCATGTTAGTTGTTGATTTTCAAAAATGCTTCCCAACTAAGTGCGCTAATGAATATTCAGAAATGAATAATTTCTGTCAATCCATAGTTAGTTAGAGCTCCCCTCAGAAACACCCTGGGAGTTCAACGAAATGACGGCTACCAGCTAGACGGAAGGTCCAGATGCGACCTCCTGCTGACGTAATCTTAAGCCTAGCCAAGTTTACTAGGCGGTAGTAAGTCCGGAAAAATAAGGTTGGGAGTGAGGCTAGCAACCCCACTAAGTAACGGAAACATCACTGCTACTAAAATTTGAAAGCTTGAAGCCTTATTTTCCACCCAAAACTCAATAGGTGACATCTTCAGAAAAAAATTTAAACTCACAAACACTGACACTAAATTGACACGGACAAGAAATTCACACTCTTCAATGTGAAAACTAGCACAAAATTGCATCAATTCCAGTTGTCATACTTCGGAAAAGCGAACACAAAAGCAAAGAAAAAATAAATGCAGCGAAACTGCGGTAGGCGAATATTTACCGTAAGGAGAATAATTTAGAGAAGACTGATGAAATTTTTCAGCATCTGAAAGACGACAGACGTAACTTGTCAATCAACGATATAATTGTGATATAAATGTCATCACATTACAGACGAAGAAACTATAATTCGCATAAAACATAGAGTATGTCACTGAATGAAGTGGACAAAAAATCAGGGGTGGTCAGAGTAAAACTTGGAATTAGTCCATGAAGTTTTTGTTAGTTGATTTAAGCCATGTTACGTAGGGTGTAGACTGTCTGACTGGAGTCATCTGGATGCTAAGATCCAGTGGCTGAAAACTGTTGGTGATACGACTCAAATCTATTCTCAATGGTGCAGATTCCTTAATTCTTTTTTAATTCCCTGGATCTATTAAATCCTCGTGTTATTTTGTGTTACTACCTTGTCTTCTGTTCATTATCGTTATTTTCAATTTCAATCCAACTCTCTTTTCTCTACCTATGTGGGCTACACGGAGTGTAGAAACTTGAACTGTTGTATATCTGTGCAAAATTCTACGTTGAAACTTATTCAATTAGTGAGTCAGTCAAGTGGAAAAAGAATGCTTCAGTCATTTGATTAGTCAATGAACTTGAATAACAGCTACTGCATGCAACAGCTTACATTACTATTCTTTATTATGACGTTGAAACTGGTGAATAATCATGAATTCCAAACACTCTAATCTATGGAAAATACTACCTATAATCATTCAAAGGAGATGATGTACAGGAAGTAGTCAAACGAAGACTCGATAAAGCCATCAAGAGAACTTATTATGCTGCAAAACTTGTTATCCTTAACACCACTAAGCGAGTGCTTCAACAATCAGGAAAAAACCAGTCGCCAATTCCGGACACTTAAAAACTGCGTATATCAATTTGAGTGTGTTTGTGAAAGCAAATACATAAGTCGTACAGAAAGGCGATTGTCTACTCGCATGATGGAGCATTTGCCAAAATGGTTGAAAACAGTTGAGTGCAAAGTGCCAAAATCCTCAATAACAAAACATCTTGTGGACTACGGATATGATATCGACGCTGTCAAGTCATTCACTATTGTCAGCAGACAACGAAACAAGAAGATGCTTTCAATTGCAGAGGCTTGTGCAATTCGAGTTTATCAACCAGGTCTCTGTGTACAAAAGGAGATGGTCGTGACTCTGAATCTACCATGGTAATACGTTTTACTTATTATTCTACCTCTTATTATTATTATTATTATTCTTGATTCATTTAAAATTATCCTTTATCAGTAGCATTATCTTAACTGTCTTCAACACTATTATTATTATTGTTATTATAACTATTACTGTTGACATCCCTCTGGTTGCAATTCTTGTTAAATTCTCTAATGTCTAATTGTTTATCTAAGTGATGTAATTGAAGCGTAATGCAATTTATCTTAATTTTGATCTCTCATACTCTCTCTCCCCTTATCTATTTGAATATGACCTGGAAAACATTCGCACCTGTCTTTCTGCATGACTAATTCAATGTAGTTTGTTTACTTATCACTCAAAAGTATATATCCGTGTATGTGGAGTATTCAGCTGACGAGTTCTACCGAAATTCAATGAATTCACTAAATCCTGCTTTATTAACCTTTATTGCTTGTTTTAAATTTGTATCGGGAAATAAATGTTTTCGAATATTATAGAATTTATTAATTACTGTACCGGAAACAACAACCAATTGAGATAAACAAACCGAATAACTAGATAAGCAGAGTGTAAAAGTACATACTAACAAATATGTTAAGTAATTATCTACACTTTGAGAACGACTCAAGAATGGTTACGCAATAGCTTGTTTGTGACTTTATTATGTGCTCATACAGTTTTCAATTCTATGATAACTTACACATCGACAATACTTACATATCGCTTAAATATTTCTAATTTATTTGCAATAATTTAATTAATCCTTATACATTTATGCTCAACTGTAACAAAAATTGATATTTTAAATGACATACCTAAACTGACACATATGATACGATTTATTTGCTAGTGTCGATCAATTAGTGCAATGTACCAAACTGAACTGTACAAAAACACTATAACATCGGACGACTAGAATTAAAGAACTAAATTGTATGAGCATAATCGATTGCATTTTTACCACCAAAACATAGAAGGAAGTCAGGCTGTGCCTGAAAACCTGCTTCAGTCCATTTGAACTGATCGCACATTAATGCGTTTGACAGTTTTTAACACACACATATATAAATTGTGTTACTGTCAAATAGTTGTCTCGAATAGTGTATATGAAGGAGACATCGGATTTGTTACCTACTCAATAAGACTACAAAGCCCAAATAATCCTACCGCACTTTCAGTATTTACATTCCACATTTAGTTCAGTAACTTCAAATATGTCGAATATGCTGTCGGTGGTTCAGAGGCAGAACTCTCCCCAAACCATGTACGTGGTCCGAGTCGACGCACTCCCAAACCTCTTTAAGCCAGTAGTAACATCAGTAAGGAGGGAGGGTTGGACGTGAGGCTTGTAGAAATAAAATCACTATTACCAAAACTTCAAATCTCCAGCTTGAAGCCTTACGTTCCACTCGGGAAGTAAAAGGTATAAAAAAATTCCGAATATGCACCTGTGAGTGAAGAACTAAAAACAAACTACTGAAATATCTGTAAAAGTAAGTTACCTTGAATGTGTAACCAAAAAAAGCATAAATGGAAACAAATGAAATAGCCTAGTGATGATTGTATTGAAATACTACCAAAAAACAATAATTAATTCGGAGAAAATCCATTAAAAGTGATTGCATAGAGTAAAACTTTATCATGCGAATAAGTGAAAGCCATACCAATATATACCACAATATTTGCTGTTGGGATTGGGAATGTAAACGCTACGCCCATAATGATTTGATGAACGCAGAAAATGACCAATCCAAAAAATACCAACAAAATCAAAACAATCTGATCCACAGACTTTAAACGATCGATAAATGTTGTACTACTCCTGTATGAAACAGACACAGATTCCGGTGTATCTTTATCATTGATATCATGTTTATATTTCAAAGACTGATTACTCTGAAGTCTTACAACCAAAGTGACGCACAAGACAGATGCTAAGGTACAGCTTACATCTCTTAAACCTCTAAAAAAGAGAATAATATAAACAAAAATTTTAGACACTTGAGAATGTAAAAGAAAATAGGCATTTCATTGTCTAGTGATTATATACAAACAACTTGAAGCCCCTAAACATTTATTATTTATTCTGAAATGTTTGTAGGTAAACAACATGAAGTCATAGAGCCGTTGATGCCACATCCAATTTCTTAGATAGAGGAAAAGGTTCTCATCAAGATTTTCGTGTTACGGCTAAGTTATCTGAAGATCATTTACCTGTAAAAAGGTTGACTGTTGGACAGACACCAGGATACTCCTCCGATAAACACTCTACTTGATTGACACTATTCGATTGCGTAGGCGAGGAATAAGTGAGTGCAAATAAGTGATTGAAATACAAAACCATTTTACATACTCAACAAAACTATTGTCTCACTCATATTTCCAGACGAATAGATAAAAAAGTATCCGGATAATTCACTAATCTAGCTAAAACATAAACAATTCCGTCGAGATAACTTTCATTATTGATAAATCTGTTTGAATATAATTCGGAAACGTTTTCGATATTTTTCCAGTATGTATACTTAAATGAACTAGCTAAATTCGAACTTTAGTTTCAACACGTGTCACTTGTTACCGTTATTATAATTTATAAAGGCTGCATAACTAATGTGCCATTATTCAGTCGCACGTTGAAGAGATAACGAGAAGAGATGTTCGTCACTATCACCAAAACTCTTCAACATATTGTATTCTCGACACTAGGTTAGCCAGAAAATTTAGGAGATATAAAGCCTGTATGATACACTAAGGACTGATGAGTTTCAAGAGATACTGTAAGGTAAATATGTAACGACAGAAGTCAAGGGCTAGGCAACAGATCGTTTATTGAGAAAATCAACAGATATTTATAGATTTTTATGTGCATTATTATTCATTATTGTTAGCAGAGAAGCAACGTCTTCTGATTGGTTGTTTCCCTGCTCAAGGTTATTCCGTCATCCCTTTGTGGACGTTTATTAGAAAATCAGGCCATATATCTGCGGGTCGTATTTGTACTCGTTAAGTCTGATGTGATTGGTTGATGAGTTCCTCAAAGTTAAGCTTTCTTATTATTTTTTTTCTCATGACCCCGATTCGGGACGTAAACATTGACGTAAATTGTTGTCTACAATTTTGGCTAGTAGACAGCTCTCACCACAAATATAGCCCAGAACATGATGCCTATCATACTGTCGAGCACCTGATGAGGGATGATATCAGCTTGATGAAAAGCTCCATATAAGTAAGCACATCTAGAGTTACGGAAATTCCTAGAAATTAATTATTGTCAAAGCTGAATTTTTAAGAATTGGTTTTGTAGGGATTTTTTGTTTGATTGGTCAGAGGATTTCATCAAAAAGACTTTATCCGAATGAAGTTAAAGCAAGACAGACATGGACTTTTTCTAATCAGTGGGAAGAAGATGTGTAGCTCACTGGGACGTTAGAGCCTGAGAAGTTTTCCAGAAAGATTATGAAAGCCTACAGAACATAACACAAAAGTTGTATAATTTCAAGATATCGATTAGAGAAACAACCAAAAGCAGGATCACTGGGATAGCTGCTTATTTGTAGTTAGATGCCCTTGATTAATGCACACCTAGGACCCACTAGGATTTGAATTCACGACATTCAAGCTACAAAGCCGGTAGCTTATCATTCAATCACTGACTCCGTGACTTTTGGTTAGAAAAAGCAATAAACCGTGAAGTTGTAAATGTTCCAAATAAAAACATCTGAATTGCAGTTTCGAACAGAGGTGTTCTGGTGTTCTTCAGACAAATCATTATACAACTACTGATCATTTACACAAGGGAATAACTAAACTGTGATCAAGACGATACATTCAGACAAAGATTCCTACTAACAACAATGGATAAAATGACAGATCAATATTTTCTGAAAGAAGTATAATACACTTCATTCGTAAACTTCTTCTAGGTAACAATAACTTATTCAGTATACATACATATAGTGAATGAATCCAAACAATATTACATTAAAACTAAAAACAAATAAACACTCACACGAATAAACCGAGTGCTTGTGTATTCCAAAGGAAAGGTTCACTCATCAAATAAAGACTTAAATACGATACATCAGTGATTCCACAGATGGAAAACATGAAGATTATAATAGATAATATGAAGTGTGTCGGAGGTAAATTTGATATGACCTGGAAGAAAATTTGAAAATTATTTAACTATTGACTATTTGCGTTAATCCAGAAATAGCAAATAGAATAATAGTTTATTGTAGAAATGACTGTTTAACTTTTGGTATGAATATATTTATCCTGGAAGAGAAATTCATACTCATTGTCAAAAAAAGTCTGTTCAATAGCTATGCAGGAATGAAACATGTTATTTTATTTCCTAAAAGTAGCCATTTCAAAGTAATTTATTCTATAATTAGTCGACCAAAGTGCAAATATCAGCTGAATGGAAATAGAAAGATCAAGGAATAAACTGGAACAGTAGTACATTAGTTTGAAGTGTCCAAATTCAGAAAAGCATAGAAAAAGGAAGTGAACAAAAACAAAAAATATCTTCTCTAAATGCCATCAACAATATCCCTTTTTTAAGTCACCATTCAAGAATACGATCTCTTGTATAACACTACCAGATTTGATTGCAGTGTACTCTTATTGTACACTACTATTGATGAAACACAATTATTGCTTATAGGATGATAATGGGGTGAATAAAAGGGCAAATGTCAGGAGAGGAAATAAATTATATGTACTTCAGGGAACTCAGAAGACAAAAAGAGATGATGGTGAAGCAGCACCTGAGGCATAACTAGAAACTGACTAAAATCCCCTAACAGTATTCAAATAAAAAGTGAGGAAGTGCTTATAAGTACAGTCCCTAAGTACTTGATTGACACGCCAGATACCGATGAAATCAGTCAGGCCTTTAAAATGACCAATATGCAGAGAAAACCCCGGTTACTTTATTTCGCAGAATCCACCGTTATCAAACGACCTCAGTCGAACTTCTGTATACGCAAAGATAGTGTGATTAACCTCGCACTACCCTAGTAATTAGATCTCTCTTTTTTGTTACATCACAGCTTTCACGTAATTTTGGTTTTCGTTTGCTGAGCTGTAGGCATTCCGACCCAATTAATTGTTTGCTTAAGTGATAATTTTACTTTTACTTGTCATATCTTTTCGGTTCCACTCTCTCTTCACGAACTCTCTATGATATTATGTATACATGAACTGTGGTCGTTCATTTTAGAACTACCTTGTAATCATACATCTTGTTCCATTACTATGATAAGACTTATTAAAATAATTTGTAAAGTATGTTATGTATTTATGTCTATTTTACCTTGTTATTTTTAGGCTGTCAGCTGCTGAGGGGAAAATGAGCTATTTTTATCCTGCATGTATGTCCAATGATATATAATGATTCTACTCAATTTGAAATTCACAAATAAATAAGCTGGGGACTCTGAAGAAATATACATAAAACTAGGTAACTTGATTGAACCACAATACAAGAGAATCGATTAGACATTCGACCGGAGAAGCCGAAAGAGTAGTAATAATAAAATGTATTTTTGTACTGAAGCAGATTCCTACTAGTAGATCGTGACTTTACATATTGATTTTTCAGGCCCTCATGTAGCATTTACGAGTTCGTCACGGATTGATTTCAGTTAGAAAACTATTGGAAACCAGGGAGTACTGTACAGCTGTTTCACTATATTTTGGGAATCATCGGTAGTAGGGGCTCGAACCCAGGACCTTACAGTTACAAGGCAATCTCGTATGCCATCCAACCACTGGGACCCGATTCAATGGCCAGTGTATGAATTCTAACCTCTACCTTATGCAGTAGTTGGAAATATCTTTTTCGAGAGAATTTCACAAGTAAATCATAAATGTAGTGTTTTCACACATAACTTACAAAGTTGCATAAGTGTTCAATGATAGAACAAATTTATTTTGATAAAGTCTAACAATGTTATACAGTAGTAATATTTAATGATGACGTTTTGAACACAATTTATTGCTCATAATCATACCAAGGCATTCACATAACTTTCATGCTTCGTTTATTGGCAATATCTCCACATCTCTGGTATCTCTGGTTGACCTCACGAAGATGAATAGTGTAGATAAAAAGTTAACAATTACAATACATGTAGTAACAAACAATCACATAATAGGGTGGGACAGAACTACGGTTTTAAAAAGTAATATAGGTAGATAGAGAGAGAAGTTAATTACCGAATCGGTGTTCATCGAATTTACACACAACACCAATACTAGAGATATGAAAAATATTACTACCAATACACTTCAAGGACAAGAAATCATTGGAGTGATATAAACGAATTTTTAAAGTTATGTTAGTGCCTCAATATGATTGTGACCAGCAATAAATTCTACTGTAAACGACATACAATAAACAATACTGCATATAACTGGGTTTGTCTTTTTTATCAACAAAAAAAAAAATTTACGCTACGATGCAATTATAGTCTACCACAGTGCTTAAATTCTATTTTTATATTGCATAAGTGTTGTACCACTTGTAATCACTACCGGATAGGTTGGCTGCTATTAGTAAAAAAAAAAAAAAGAAGAAGATAATTCACACATTTTACATACAATAAAAACTAATCCTCTCGTTCATGCTTCTGTATAACATAAGATCAATTGTGTACTTATAATAGACACATAGAAATAATTAAATAATAATAATAGTGAGTAGATTCTTACGCGTAACTTATTCATACAACCATTATTAGAATTCCTTTGAACAGAGTAACTATCCTGTGATGTTTGCGGTTCATTATCTTCACTTGTAATAATTGAAATATCACCAGACAGTTGATTTGATGAATTTTCACCAACAGTTACACCGACTTGAACCACTTGTACTCTTGTCTCAGTCATACAAAATAAATTAATCGGGAGTGGAATTAGAAAGCTGATACATGTTAACATAGTTGCATAGAAACGATAATGCACAATCATATAACCTGTAGAGAAAAAAAATAAATAAGATGATAGAATATTCTAAGTGTAATTCATCTCATTTTTTCAAACAAAATAAAGCCATAGGCAGAAAACAACACTGAACTAACTAACTAACTAACTGTGCGTCGGTGGCACAGTGGTTAGGACTCTCGCCGACCATGCACATGGTCCGGGGTTCGATCACCCGATATCTATGGTCGGCCTGCAAAATTTGGGCTACCGATATCCATGCTGAAAATTCCATACTTCTACCAAAAGTACTGTGTGGAATCAAGCTGTAAGCTGTAACCAACTCTCTCAAGGACAAAACTTAATGTGTAGTAAACAACAAGGAAAGCTGATCTTGTTTAAATTGGATCAATGGTGATTGTATGAATGACAGATCACCAGTTTGTGAATAACTAAGAAACTTATCACAAATACATTAGAAAAATGCTAAAAGTTGTTTGTTTGTTTGTTTCAAAATGGAAAGACAATTACAAAGTGTTTCCGGTTTGTATGACTATTTAAGAATGATAACTGAAAGGCAATAATCACGTTTAAACTTCTGTCAATTCTATTTTGATTCAAACCAAAAAAAATGTGGAACACCAACTTGAACATGTAACAGATTTTAACAGAGCATTAAGAAGACGTAGTTTGTCTGAATCGTGTAATGATCACACATGGACTTGTCATAGGAACATATATGAAATTAGTACAAAGTTGGGAGGTGAGAAAATAAATTTAGGTCAAGTTAAAGGGACATATTGAAGGTCAAAATAACAATGAAGGTCTTATTTAAGGGATTTATTACTTCTATGTACTAGCAATGTTAGGTTCACATTTGAAGGCAATTGCTTTCGTCAGATTGATGGTGTTTCTATGGGAAGTCCATTAGGGCCCCTTTAGCAGATATCTATATGCCGTGTAATGAAAGTTTACCTGAAGACTTAATCGGAAATGAACCACTTTATAGACCATATGTAGATGACATTGTAATCATAAGTGATTAGCTTTGCTCTGCCACCTCAATTTTAAATCGAGTGACTGAAGTTCAGAATAGCATATCACCTACGTCTGTAGAACAGGAAGGTAACTGTTTATCTTTATATTGCTTAGTCGATGGCTTGATGGATCAATAAAACGATCTACTTATAGAAAACCTGCCTGGACAGGACAATATCTTAATTATCACAGTTTCTGCTCTTTTTCGGGACAAAAGAGCCTTAGTGAGGTGCATCTTCAGTGAAATCCAATGAATATGAACTGAAGACACAATTGATGAGGAAGAAAGAAAGTTGACACAAACTCTGGTTGATAACAATTATCCAGACAAGTTCATCAGGAGATATAAAGTAGTCAGAACACCAAGACCCAATCTCCAACTCACCACTAAGAAAGACGTATACATCAAGCTACCCTATATGGGTCATCATAGCAGCTTCGTAACTCGACAGAGATTGAACGCTGCTGTTAAAAAGACTTTTTATGCAGCTAAGATTAAAATAATTGAGAATATGAAGCCGATATATCCATCTAAGCCCTTAGAACATGCGAAAAATGATGGTACATCCCACTGTATTTAACAATTTGAATGTACGTGTGGACACACATACATAGGGAGGACTCATCGGTCTCTGCAAGTAAGGGCTTCAGAGCATATTCCTAAATGGTTCCAGAAACAAATGGAATCTTCAGAACCCATTAATGGTGAGAACAGGAGACCTAGCTCCTCTATCGCGAAACATATTACAGAGACAGGACACAAAATTGGTGTTTACACATCTTTCAAACCTATCTACATAACATGTTTGGGGCGTATCCTAAAGTTTGTGGAAGCCCAAGCTGGCAATTAGGAACTTTAAACCACCTTTATGCGTTCGAAAACAATTCGTCATCACACTTAACCTTCCTTGCTAAACTTTGTCTTGATACCAGGGTAGATGCACTATTAACTCACTTATTTAGTTTAGTGATCTTCATTGCTATTTTGACCTTCAGTATGTCCCTTTAACTTGAGCTAAATTTATTTTCTCACCTCTCAACTCTCTACTAATTTCACATTTCACACAAGTCCATGTGTGGTCAGATTGTTCGAAATGTGTTGCACAAATACATTACACGATTCAGACAAATTACGTCTTCTTACTGCTTTTCAATTATTGGTTTGTAGGGATTTTGTTTGATTGGTTGGAGGATTCAATCATGAGCTGGCATCGGTTAAAGAACCTTTGGAATACCTGGGAGCACTGGACAGCTGTTTCGTCCTAGTTTGAAACTCTTCATCAGTACGCATCCGCCGGGGTGGGTTCTCTCACCGATGTCATTTCATGCTGAAATCCACCATTCTTGCTTTGTCTAAATTCATTAAGGGAACTAACTGCTTTACATTTTTAAAGCGGAGACTCCTTCCACACATGTTATAAATGGTTATTTCATTCTATCGCTTATGATATACAAATGCATCTCCTCAATATCAGATGCTCTAACTTTGTAAATATAGAGAAAAGATACCATAAAACCAGTAATGCAAGTATGTGAACAAATCAATCAGTTACGGAAATAAGATAAGGAGACATAAGGTTATTTTGCTTCAACGGAACAGGAAAGGTAAGCTTGACATATTTACCTCAATAATCATAGTAGCCAATGCAAGAACTGGCGCGGAATTATGCTCCTGTCCATCCCAAGCAAAATAATAAGCCGCATCATCCTCCAGAGAATCAAACACGCCCACCTGGATGAAAAACTTCGACCGGAACAAGCTGCATTCAGGAAAAACAAGTCATGCATTGATCAGATCGCCACATTACGGATCATCATTGAACAAAGCCTGGAATGGCAGTCACCTCTCTATCTCAACTTCATCGATTTTGAAAAGGCATTTGACAGCGTCGATCGAGAGGTGATTTGGTAACTACTTCGCTACTACGGGGTGCCACCGACAATTATACATCTCATCCAACAGCTGTACGACAATGCTGCATGCCAAGTAATCCACAACGGGAAACTTACGGAATCCTCCGAAGTGAGGACAGGAGTAAGACAAGGCTGGTTGGCTGTCTACTATCGCCAATGATTTTCCTGATTGCAGGAGACTGGATAATGCGACAAACAGCGGGCAATGAGGAAACAGGCATAAAATGGACTCACACAAAAAACTTGGAGGATCTGGACTTCGCCTATGATATATGTCTGATTTCCCACAAACTGGAAGATATGCAAGTGAAAAGCAACAAGCTGGCAGAAGAAGCACCTAGAGAAGACAGGACTTCAGGTGAACATGGAGAAAACAGAAATGTGATGACGATTCCTGGCCAACACCAACAGCAACAACAGACAACAATCAGCATAAATGGAGGGAACCTGAAAGAAACAAACTCTTTTACCTAAAGACTTGGGAAGCATCGTTTCAACTACTAGCGAAACTGACGTGGATATCAGAGCAAGAATCGGAAAAGCAAGACAAGCTTTCACTACTCTCAAGTCTGTGTGGAGGTCAACAGCACTCAGCATCAAAAATAAGATCCGGATTTTCAACTCCAATGTGAAGTCAGTGTTACTATACGGATCAGAGACTTGGCCAGTGCGTCATAAAGAGCATCTCAAGCAAACTATAGACCTTCATTAACAGTTGTCTTCGCTCAATACTCAAGATCAGATGGCCAGACAGAAAAGATCAGCAACAGGGATCTCTGGTAGCGAACGAACCAGGAACCGATTGTGAAACAAATAGGCAGGAAGAAATGGAGATGGATTGGCTGGCCATACTCTGAGGAAACCATCAAGTGACATCACTAGACAAGCCATTGCTCGAGTGGAACCCGAAAGGGAAGCGGCGAGTTGGTCGTCCAAGGGTGACTTGGAGGAGGTCATGTGAAGAGGAGATGAAAACGTGTGGGCAGACATGGAGCCACGTAAAGACTCTGGCAGAGAACCGAACTCAATGGAGACGCACGGCTGAAGCCCTATGTTCCTCTAGGAATTAAAGGATACAATAATAATAATAATAAAGTCTAAAATCCATTAAATAAAACTACCAGCTGTCAATAGAAATTTGTGCATTTACCAAGTCACTCTTGCCTTATCGACTAATTTAAATTGAACCTAAGACCCAGATAACTATCACAATCAAAATTGTGTACATTTTGAAGAAACAATTTAGAGTAGCGAAGTTTTCAATACGCATTACTATCCCGAATAGAGTTTGCCTTGCGTTGATATTTTAAGGGGATCAGGCTAATATGCGCTAATACATAATACGTATATTTAATAATGTAGTGTTACGACTTCCTGAACGCAAAAATCCTCATATTTTGTAAGATCAGTTGGTATTCAATAAACGGAAAATTTACCTGATAGTACATTCGCAAAAGCCATCCCACAAGTGATTACGGCATCAAGTAAGGTGAATAAAAGCCAACGCTTTTTTATCATTCTTTTTGTATATTTCATCTGATCAGTACTTGAACCCGGTACAGCAACATATTTCGAACTTTGGGTTATATCTGCAATACAGGCGGCTAACTGTGCTGAAACCGATAATAATCCTCCTCCAATTACTCCTTCTAATATTTCACACAATACAAAAATCCATGGAGACAGATTGAAAAACACTACAACACCTTCGATAGAAAAGACAAAAAAACAAACAAGGAAAGTTAAGCAATTTTCTAATAATGTTATTCACTGTAGTCTACGATTGAAACGACAGTCAAACAGTAGCAAATACCCTTAGTGCAACGAAATTCTAGACTCATTCGTCTGCAATCACAGCCCATGTAGAAAGTCATTATTTAGTAAATTTGCAAATTTAGTCTTTTTGTTCTATAAAAATTTATCAAGAGAACCACATGTATGATGTCAAAGATGCCTGGTGCTTTTCTAAAGTAAGTGCTTGATACGAGTGATCACTTAACTGTAAAGCAAACTACTTTGTGCATGAATGTTTATGAAAATATGCATCTAGGACAAGCATACATAATCAGTCCACTAATGTAAGCACAACTGAAGATTGCTAATCAGTGTTATACAGACATCTGTAATAAGAACGTTAGTGACGATTTGTGGAAATTGATATGATTTTTTTGTCGTGAGCCGCATTCATACGACAAAGTTTAACTGGAAGTATTTCAGTAAAATAGGTTACGTAACTACGAAAATTAATTAACTTAACAGTAACAAGTAACGTTTAGATGAAAAATATAAGTTTTCTGAACACAAGAAAACATATAGAATATATACTGTAGTAAAGATTGGATAACTTTGTTTTGTGAGTATAACTATCAGGGTACTGCACGGTGCACAACTGTCTCTTTCCGAGTATATATAGATCGGGTTTTAACCGTTTGACAGCGATTGCCTGATGATTATTTTGACTGCCTTCAGATTATCTACAAGGTGACTAGTTTCCGGTAGTTAATAAGCGAACTCAGTCCCATTTTTGGTATTTGTTAAAAAAAGGCTGAAAATAATCTTTTTAATGCTTCTCTAATGTGCATGCTTTGGTACGTACTTACTTAATTTCATCATACGTGTGCTGATGCGGTTAGGCTAGGAGTGCAAGGAGGGAAATTTAATCAGTTGAGATGCCCAGGACATGGGTTACGCATGCCGAGCCGCCGTGTTTCTCATCAGCCAGTGTTAGCTGGTATAGGATTAAGTTGGAAAACAGTTAGGGGTGGTAAAACCAAAACATAACATCAATCCATGAAGTCTTTAACTGTTGTGGAGGTGTAGACTGTCTGGCTGGCTGAGGTCTTTGAGGTGCTGGAAGTCAATGTCTGGAGATTGTTGGTAATATTGCTCAAAATTAATCATCCTCGAGTAAATTTCCGACTATAATTTCTCTTTTCGCCTTTCTTTTATCAAGTGTTGCGACTTGAACCGCTGTACTTCGTGCAAGGTTGTTCGTAAGGGTAACGCTGAGTTCAGTTCACAGATGGTCAGTAAAGATACAGTTAAAAAGCAAATATTTCTGAAGAAATCCGACGGAAAAAATAGTCAAAATAAAAAGTGACATAAGGAATAACCTACTAACAGTCAGCACTTTTAATGCTTCTCCAAGCAAAATGATCCCAAGAGCAAATCGTCGACCACGCTTATCAGACAAGTAACCGACAAAAAGTGTAGACAAAATTCCAAAACCTATACCAAGGAAATTTTTAACAGACTGAATAACAGCTGCTTTCTTTTGAGCACTTTCGCGTCCAGCTGAACTAGAATTTTAAACGAAATCAAAATAATTTCACAATCATTTGAGAACTAAACAAAAATGCAATATTTTTGCGATTATGTAACAAGATGTACTTGAAATAGAATCCAAATTCATTGACCTATCTTTGTACCTTATGACTGCAAAACTTATGAGAATATGAATTGCTAGAAAATACTGGAGAAATACTAACTAGACTTAACAGAATATGGGACTATACCACTATCTATACGACAAATTACACGATATCAAAATAAATAAATATATGACACTGGAGACAGAACAAAGTAGCTATTACTTCATCATCCATGTGTAAATTTGTATGACGGTAGTAAAACAGAATTCTAATAGCAATGATGAGGCATTGTTAAAGAAGACTTTAAGTCAATACACTTGTAACGTATCAACACAGATTAAATGAGTCGTTCATGTATTTTGCTCTGAATGAGCTGTTGGTCGTCCTAAACATCTTAATGCCGAATGCGCTACTAAATGCACAAGTAGTACGTTTTTAAGAGAAGTGGTAGTTTAAGAACATAATATTCAGTGAAAAGACTTTCGAATGAACTTACTACTAAGCCATACAGCCATATTCAGCCATATATATAATGGACCAGTGTAATTAGTGACAATGATAATGACAATAATGGCGTTGATAAATAGGCTATGTAATATATAAAATAGGTCATGGAATGTATAAATCTTAGATGGGTGGGGAAAACTAAACAGGGTGACAAATTTGTAAGGATGAAGTTTAGCACTGCAAAAAGCCTATTGAATTGAATCAATGATTCGGGACAAATGAAATAATACCGGAAACCACTTAGGGTGAAAATAATAATAATAATAGCAATAGATAGATTCAAAGAAAAGTGATATGAACGAGGCGACTGAGAGAAAAAGGAATTTAATCCTTTTTCGCTCTCGTCATGCGCCTGAAAAATTTGTAGTGAAAACAGTGTTGATGAAGAACGCCGACAACTAAAACAAACTTTCGTAGAGAATGCTCATCTAGCACTCTCTGTCATTGTTAAGAGCAAATTAAATGAGAGAAATATAGAGTGTATTAAGGTATCTAAGAAAGTGTTGCATCTAAACTTAGAGTTTATGAGTGAAGTCCTTAAAAACCGGCCAACAAGACCATTGATGAAAACATAAGACTTTCGCTGAGTAAGATATCTCGCCGTGTTCGAGAGCACCTCCCACCTTGGCTAAGCAAAGGTGAGTGTAAGACCATTAATTCGCCTATATTGCAACAAATAGTAGATAATAACCATACAGCATCTGATGCATCCTTCAGTGTAGTTTACAAAGTCCAACAAAGTTTGTCGAAAGGGATATGAGCGCATTTATTTATTTTATTTTATTTATTTTGATTTACAGCTTGATTCCACACCGTATTTTCAGTACAGGTATGGAATTTTCAGCATGGATATCGGTAGCCCAAATTCAGGCCGACCATAGATATCGGGTGTGCGCCGGCAGGGGATCGAACCCCGGACCATGTGCATGGTCGGCGAGAGTCCTAACCACTGTGCCACCGACGCTTTGTATAAGAGAAGCTTGGTCAATTTTATTGACAACACTTCAGTCATCTTACTGCATCTGACCTAAGAAATGTATATATTCAGATTTCCGAATGTATTTAATATTTCCGTCATCTATTTACTCATGTCTATTGAACTTTGTTTTGAACTTTTTTATTCACTCATATTTGTAATTGGTTTGTGATTCGTAATCATCCACACCAGCATGGTCACATTTTAGTATTTCCATTCACTGTCAAGTCTTAACACACACACATAAAACGACAAAAGCAAAACTACTTGTTATCGTTTATTGTAAAATTCATACATAAACACAACTGCGCAGATGTAGAAATGAAATCGTCGAAAGAAGAGTTCCGTTCAAATCGTTGCTTTAATAACAGTAGTAATAATAAGGGTACACCGATCAATCTGTATACCATCCTGTGTACGTTCCATGAATTACCTTATATATTACACTGCTTATTTTATCACTTGGTATTTAACTAGGGTTATAAGCACAATTATTTTGTCTCAATTCACATTATTATTAGCGATCACACATTGTTTAAACTTCCCCACGGGATATAGTTTTTCGAAAATTATATATATATATGTACGTTTTGCACAGCTTAATAACAGATTCGTTGAAAAGAGCGTCTTCACTGAATAGTGTGTTCTCAGTATTATTATTAAATTAAATTATTTATTAAATTACTAAAATTGTATTTTTTCCATTGTCGAATAATAGAGGCATAGAGGAGAAATGTTTGCTTCCCACAGTAGACTATCAATTACAAAGTGATAAGCACTGCATCAAAGCATTTCACCACAGTATATCTGACTGCAAATAAAGCGATAGTCGACGTTCTGTATTAAGACATTTAAGTCAGAAGGAAGATGTAACTGATAAGTTATGCAATCCAAGACGAAAACGATGTAGATATGAGTAAATACTTAACAATACCCAACCAAGTTAATTAAAACAATTAGTCCCTTTGATAAATTTGAATAAGGCATTAAGAAGACGAATTTCGCGAGATGATATCACTTCGTAGTTTCTTTACAACCGCTTTACAGCTAACATGGTTAACAATAATAAATTAAAGATCATGACAATTACTCAGTTAAATAAAAAAGTACATACTAATGACCAATCATATTTAGATAGGTCATGTAGTCCATGGTAGGCGAAGATTGAAGTCTATTGTTTTTTGTACACACAGTCTAGGCTGTATGTGATTAATTCAAAGTGCTTCCATCACCTTCAATAACCTTGAATTAGAGTTTTGTGAAATAATTGTGAAAGTCATTAAAATATTGATTTTGTGACCTGACGTTAATTAATAAATGTTTTGCAATGGATGATGCTGGATTTCTATTCAGATTACTCGTGTTGGGATTTTCTATATGATTTATTAAACATTTTGGAACATGTTCTTTCCGACAACATTGGAACATTCTGTTGGTTCTGCCTATATAGGTGTCACCGCAGCTGAAGTAGAGTCCACAGAATTTCGTCCTTTAATCGTAGTTACAGGGATTGAAAATGTTCGGCAAGTGAGAAAAAGAAATTCGGCTTAGAATGCGCGTTTGATGGCTGACCGAAATCATTCAGTTGTCAACTGCACAATCTGGTCACCCTTGAATGGTAGGTTAATAAAGATAGCTTTCTTTGGTTAAAAGTATTTTTGCTAAGAAATACACTGTTCATCATTCAACAACTTTATCACTACACGGATGTTTTCACATTCATTTTCTTGCATGTTATCTGATTCTGTTTGTTAACTTTTCGATCGCCTTTTTTTCTCTAAACTGCGTAACTGTAAAGTGCTGCGACTTAAACTACCTTACCATTATGTCGATTTATATGTCAGTTTAATAATTTAAAATGCACACACAAACAGCTATTGATACTACTTGCTAACATTTTAGAGAAAGAAAAAAAACACGGACTTATTGTACTGTTACACATTATTATGAAGGTCAGGGATCGGTCTAGAGCGTTAGTATCAAGCATAGGTTGTAATATATTCTTATCCAAAGTTTTATTCACAATCCCTTGTAGGATGGAGTCGCGTGAAATAAGTCAACTAAATCTTTATCAAAGTTAATATAAACAGACTACTGTATATTTATTCCAACTCACGAATCGTTTTTATTCATTGACCAATAATCGATCCCCTCCGCAGACAGACAACTAAAATACGAAATAAATTAGTGTATAAACAGAAAAAAATAGATGACTACATCTAAACAGTTATAGATTTGGAAACATTATTTACTCTCAGTCGTTCAGTACACGTTTCTGCACCAAGTTATGAGCTACACTTGATTTCTTATAGCGTAAAACTTTACCAACCTCCCGAGTCAAAGTAACCCGAAACCCACCAGCTGAAAGTCAAGGACTTAAGCAAACTCTAATTGAAATTGAAACTAAGTGACATTTAGGAGGAATAGTAGTGGTGAATTACCGACTACATTAGGTAAGGTACTATTTAGCATTCGAAACAGTGTCATCAAACAGATATGGAATCTTAGTAGTTCCAAAAGAGGCAACAAATTTCGGTGTGATAACCACAGCAAGTCAGTATGACCATTATGGTGTCCAAAAGCTGATGCTATTCGAGGACTGTATGGAGTTCGACGAAAGCGATCTCTATAAAATCAAGACAAATTCAGGTTGGGAGATAATGCATTAGTCAACTACTCAGCTGAATTAGTTGTGTTCTCTGAGCTGGTTGATTTAATTGCGAAGCTTTCGTCGTTCTTCCAGACAGCACAGGTTTTAGCATAAAACGAGTTTATTTGAATTCTTCTTGAATGATGTAATTGTTTCTCCTGGCAATCACTGTCGTGGCTGGTCTTTAATTTACTTCCCTATTGACCATTTCTATACTGACTTGAAACTGGAGCTTTCTTGTCAAGCGATTTACTTTGTATTAACTGGTGGTTTGGTCTATATTAGTGTTTGTTAATCGCTGATTCACTTGAGTACCAAGCTTCTAAAAATTTCCTGGTACTTTTGGTGTTTCCTCTACTTAAAATTCCTATATTATCCCAATCAACCTGGTGTCCATAATTACCTACATGCATTGATATGAAAGAATATATATCATGCCATTTTACAACCAATTTGTGTTCTTGGATTTGGATTCGAAGGGTTGTCCACTTGGACCGATGTAATGTTTATTGCAGTTCACATAGTTTATTTTGCAAGTGGTATTAATTTTATCTTCTTTTCCACTAGATCTTTTGGTTTGCACAACATCGAATGAAGTGATTGTGCTGGCTTGTGTGTTATATCTATTTCAAACGGTCTTAATATTCTAGCTGTTATTTCTCCATTATTTCAACTACTCAACTTTTGACAGGTTTTGGGATGCGGACGTGCTTACTAGAGGCATCTGACTCTGTCGGTTGAAGTGTTATGGTAGCGAAAATGCTGACAATGTCTCTTATACCAGTCCAGACATTCTACTCAAATTAATACACCCATGTAAAAATCTATGAAGCCATTGTATGAAACCTCCCGCGTCTGTGTTTTCGTTTACGTTTGTTGCGAGCGAACTAATGGATAAAACTGTTTGACTTCGGTATTTCAAAAATCGACTTTCCCATATGACACTATCACTGCTTGAAGTGTGCAACCAATATATAGCTTTTAGGCAGGGATGTTTACAAATACTTAATGATGATCGGCATACAGTTCCCTACTGCTATATGTAAGATGATGCAACATGACTGGTCTGCACCGACTAATGGGACAAAGCTGTCGCAAGCTGATGTAAAAAGATTAGAGGTTTCAGGTCACGGGATACTTTGTTTAGTTGCTTACGTATGGTAATTACAAAGTTAGCTGTAGTTTAGCTTCATTTTACTGTTATGTGCTTTAGGATTTGTTGTAGACTAACTTGTTTACAGAAATAGAGTTCGTGGACGGATAAACACTGCACCTATTATGACATAAAACTGCTATGATTATATGTGATGTGCAGAAATCTTGAAGGGATATTAGATAAGAGAAATTTTGATCAAATGACAGAGAAATGTTGAGGTGAAGCAATCTGTTTCTAATGTAAAGCTTAATGACCTGGTATTCACAAAGTGTAATTACTAAACACCTTGTGTATACGGGCCATTTCATCGCCAAATCCTTCAAAACATTAAACATTCAAAAGACAGCCAATTTACTACAATTTGCTGAATCAATCGCAATCAAACCTTTAAAACCAAACGAATGCAAACAAACAGAGAATGCAATTAATCTCTTGCTCTCTTAGTAACTGCATTTGGATTGCATTGATTAGTCATCCATATTAGTGACTTCAGTCCACTGAACAAGTTTCCAATTTTATAAATTATAACCTTCTTGAGTTGCTGTGTAAACCTACATGCTAACAATGTTTATTTGATTCTTCTGTTTTCTGTATTCCCCACAACTTACTTCTTTTTCTGTTATGAAAGCATACGAACTAATAGTAACTTAAACTAAAAACCGTGATGATTTTATAACACTTTCTCTGCTATAATTCGAACATTTAAGTCGTTTGTAACTTTCGTGTATTTATATCAAATGGATGGGAAAGTTCCAGAATAATTTCTGGTTAGGGGTTAAATTATTAAAAATTACAATTAGGAATTAGAATGCCATAATAAACAGGGGGATGGGTAAAACTCGAACGAAATTTTCTTTTGTAACCGACGAGAACCTGTGAAATAGAATGACACCATTTTATACTACAAATTCAGTTTTTCTTTCTTTATCAGAATTTATTAAGGAGATCACGTGCATGAAACTACCTATCCGTTAGTGGAAAAGGATCAAATAACAATAAAATTACCAGATTGGTAATTTTTATCTGGATGTATTTGCATTATTTCAGAGGTATTATCCGGTTGAAAGTCAGTTGGTGTAAAGTTTTACAACTTATTCAAGGATTAGCTTGCACTCTTAATTATCAGTAATAGTGTACGGAAGAAATATATTAAGTTAGGTTGTAAAAATATAGCTCAGTTACAATATCACGATTAAGTATTCCAAGTAATAATGAAAAAAATTAACTGGCTTCAACTGTGGATGTACGTTTCCTTCTACTCAAGTCTTAAAATTTTTAGCGAAAGTTACATAACTTTCTTGGTGAGTTACACCTAAGATCTCAAATCGATAAACAATTAGCACATTGTTTATAAATGGAAAATTTGAGCAGAACTGCATGCTGCACTGTTCGCATACAAAACCAACTCCACTGAATACAAACAACCGTACATGCACACTGGATAGAAACATGCAATACGCTTAAGGTCAAAAAGCGACAAACGAATAGTTTGCACACATTTCTGATAAATCTTTTGTATTACGTCATGAAAGTAACCTTCACAACTTCTGGGAAACTGGTACTCCAAGTGAGATGAAATCACGGAAATACCAAATACAGAGATAAAACAATTTGCCCAGTGTTAGATTTGACAGCCGAATCGAATTTTACCACTGCTTCATAATAAAAAAAATGTAACACGAAGTTTGTCCATTCATAAAATAAAACAGATTAGATACATTACCTGTAGTAGATAAACTGGTCACTGATGAAATAAGACATATATACAGAAACGAACACGGAGAATGTCAAAATAGTGAAATTCACAAGAAGTTTCGCTTCGCCAGAAACAGCCATTTCTATCACATTCACCAAAAACCTACAACAGATAGTTTTAAGTTACTTGCATTAACGAAATAATTATTCAGTCAATCAACTGCTACTGTAAGAGAACCAGAAGGACCAAACATAATAAATAGTAAATAAATGCAGTAAATGAAAATGAAAATTTGCCCGAAAGAGATCCGATTAATCTGAGTATGAATACACTTTAAAGGTATACTCATTTGAACAGCTTTAACGAGTAGTTTTCACATAACTGTTACCGAAATAAAAAATTCTTTGACGATTGATTCAGAAACTTTGTTACGCTTTCCACACGCCACATTCTCACTCAGCAGAAATCTGCATTTTACCAATTTATCTCACTTCATGAAAAAAGTGACACCAAATCCAAACCGGATGGGCAGATTTTTTAGAATTAAGAAAATTCATTTACGAAGATTTATGGTCGTGCACAGTAGTTACATATAGTTCAGCAAGTGCTTTTAAAAAACTCAAAACTATGGCTAAGATCACGCAGTAAGAAAACAGGTGACTTTATGCCATAGCAGCTTAAAACGAAACTACCTAATGAATGAATTGATGACGCCGACAAATATATTTACAAAAATTGGTTTAACCTGACTATAAGGACTTCTGTGAGGGACTAGGAGTTTTTCGAACAGCCGTTAGGACTCTCGCCGACCATGCATATGGTCCGGAGTTCGATCCCCTGCCGACGCACACCTGATATCAATGGTCGGTCTGCTAATTTCGGGTTACCAATATCACATGTTGTAAATGCCATACTTGTATCAAAACTACGGTGTGGAATCAAGCTATAAACAAAAAATTATTATCTTATGTATCCATTTCTTAAATATTGCATTACTTATAATATAGACGTTTTTTAAATTGCCCACTTTTACTTCTTACGAATGTGAGGTAGTTTCGTTTTCGGCTGCTACAGTTTAGTCACCCGAAGATATAGTGTTAAAAATATGAATGATCGGTGCATATTGACAGGCTATAATTTTAAATTACCAGATTTATAATATAAATTTCTGGGAGACTGTCTCAGATGCAACTTGAATAAGTGTCACAGGAGCAACACATTTTGAGTGTTTCACCTGTAATCCAAAGTATACTCAAAAAGTACTTCAAGGTCGAATAAACTTAGAAGGTCTACCACAGGTCGATCCTTCAAGGTAAGTTGTCTTTTACAATAATAAAACAAACTAGGCTTAATAATTCTTTTCATTGCTGTTGCCGTAATATAAGCCCCATATATACGAATATACGAATGACTTTGCAGAGTGTCATACCACCGAAATCTAAATTTAGACTTCTGCCTCTAACCTGACCCTAAACTTCACTTAGCTTAATCCTCATCTATCCCTAGTCATTCCTTGCATACCCTTATATTTCTTAAACAAAACCTAACCTTAGGCTTTCCCTAAAATTCTTAAACTAACCAGACATCGTGTTCAACCTCGCTTTCATTCAACAGTGTTTTCATTAACACAGTCTCGTTTAACTTATTTTAATAGCTTGATCTGACTAAGCATTCTGAGATTATCTGTGAGTTCGCGCCGACTGTGTGTCTACATAAAGAATTCCTAGATGAAATCTCAAATTATAATTTCATGTCTTAATTCTTCCATAGGTGCTACATCTGGTTTGCTTTTTCCACTTATTAGGAAAAAATATATTGACTTCATGGTCTGTCAGATTCGAACATTCTTGTTTAATCAGTCAGTTTCACAAATTTCGCCCTCTTCTACTATGGATAGATCTTTTTCCCAAATGGTTTGACACTGTCAGAACCGGTATGCACGGTTTTATAAATTTATGAGACAAATAGATAATTCGTTTAATCCTGCAGGTAATTCGTGGATGAAATATTGTCGAGCATATAAGGAGTGGTCTATATGAACGCATGCGAACTTGAAAGAATATTGTGGAGTTGGTTGCCGATGCAATAAATTCGCTAGTTAATAAACAGATATATTTTGATGTGTTTGTGTTCTCTGAGCTGGATAGTTAATTTGTGATGCTCTCATTGCCCTACTAGGCAACATCCTCAGTGCATACTTCAATTTGAAGTGAGTTTTTAGATTTCTCCACGAGTTTGTTAGTCATCTCTCCTGGTGATCTTAGGCGTGATTGGTTGCTTTTGTGTGTTTTCACACCCTCTAGGCTTCTTGTATTGGAACTGACTGTTTCCTTGACTTGAACTTCGACCCTTTGTGCATGAGATTTCCTTCTTATCTATTGGTAAATTTTGTCTATCTCGATGTGTCTATTGATTGACGATTCACTGGAATACCAGGCTTCTAAAAATTCTCTAGCATTCTTAGTGTTTCCTCCGTCTAAAATATGAACGCTGGTTGTCCCAGTCGAACTGATATCCGCGGTTTTCTGCATGTTGTGATATGAGGGAGTGGATGTCATGTCTTTTGACGGCCAGTTTATGTTCATGGATACAAAGACGAAGAGGACGTCCACTTTAGCCAATATAGTGTTTATTGCAGTTGTTACAATTTATTTTGCAGATGATATTGGTCTTCTCTTCTTTTGTTGTTGAGTAAAGAAACAGTCAGTTCAAACCTGGAGGGTGTGAAAACACACGAAAACAACCAATCACGCCTAAGGTCACCAGGAGAGATGACTAACAAACTCGTGGAGAAATCTAAAAACTCACTTCAAATTGAAGTATGCACTGAGGATGTTGCCTAGTAGGGCAATGAGAGCATCGCAAATTAACTATCCAGCTCAGAGAACACAAACACATCAAAATCATCCACCTGAGCTGCAAATCTTCTCCGTCATATCCAAACACATATATTAGTAGTTCAAATTACATACTACTGTTAGCTTTATGCCTCGATCATATTTCCGGTGTAAGCAACCTTGAGATTCTTTCTTTAGCTTCACGCAATCCTTTCGCTACCATTTTGTAGCTAGGTCGCAAAGGCTGAGCCAGTGAGCAATACAATCGAATTTCTGAAACACCGTGCGCTAACGTTTTGTACTCCAGTCTAATTCCGTAGGTGATATCATCGCACGCAGATAATGGGCTTATGTGAAACAAAGCTATTCAAACATCGGGGCAACTTATTTTGGAGAATGCACAGAGCTATCCTGCAAGCTCCCTATGTGCTTTGAATTTGTACTGGCAAATGTTCCACGAATTTCTTTCTTATTTCAAATTTCCATGCTCTCTGAATCTCCAAGACCTGCTGGAGAAGTCGTGGTGGCTCAGAGTACACTGAACTGACACGGAAACTTCTCATTTCTTTGTGCCACTCCATCTTCTTAAAATCATTTTGAGGACTAACAAATAGACAACGCAGTGTAAGCCACTGAAACTACATTTATATAGAAAGGAAAACACCTGAGTATGTGTACTCATGTGGCTGTTATAGCCTAAAGACAATTAATACGTTTTCCCAGTGCATGACTCCATAACCCAAAACTGTATGCATGATGTTAGTTATGAGTGCATGAGGTCCTAGGTGGACAGTGGTAACTGCTATGCAGGGTCATGTTATATCATCCTCCCTGATATGTCAGGTTTTCGCGCGTTGTGAGTGTAGCTTTTAGCAAGTAAACTATCACAGAGATCTAGCCGTAAGTGGCTGAAACGGTAACATGCAACTTGAACTCTAACAGCACTCTTGTTTATGTCTTCTGAGGCACACTCTGAGCACGGAAACGCATTTGTATCTGTCCCATTATCATATGAATTCGATCATTTTTCCCACGCGGCATCATTGTTAGTAACCACAATACACTCAGCGAAAGTGTTTGTCCATAACTGGTGCTCGCTCCAGCCTCATTTATACTATAAGTCGCAACCTTGTAATTATAAACAACAGCGACACCAACACAAGACCCAGGCAAACGGACGTAATGACCTTGGTACATCAGTCAGATGAACCCGTACCAAAAAGGCAGAAGTAATTGCGCAGTATATGAATTACATTGAAAATCTCACCAGGAGGTAGTATCTTGGTACTGAAGGACTAGCGGGCTTATAAACAGCTTGTAGGTGTGAAGTAAAGTGTCTTTGAAGACTTATGCAGCCGCTATTGATGGATACAGGTACATATGTTCAGCCTGTCATAACCGAAAATTTGTCCGAGAAAATGTCATTCCCTTTTCGGTTCGTGTGAGTTGTAGAGTAGTGAATAACCCTCCAAACAGCATCAGACACTGTTATCTTCATGAATTTATCTACAGAAATGGGTCTCGACTACCAATGAAAACTTCAACAAGGTATTAAGTGGGCCTTATTGGTATACAGACGACTCAGTTACTCCACATAACTACTTGGCAACGCTGATCTCAATGTCTAAGAGGGTTTTTTAATTTGATACCGGATCTTCTAGTTGGTTGATCATGGTCATTGAGTCCACTTACTTGGGTTTTCATTTGGCTCACTGTGGTTTGGAGTCACGCATAACCCAATCATAGGAATTTCTGTTCACTACAGGATAGCTGATAGAAAGAATTCCAAGCGATATCTAGAGGTCTAGCGAATGCCGAAACCCTATATGTCAAATAAGGCAGTTTAGAAAGTCGCTTGTGTGTGTTGATTTTTTTATTGAGCAGGAATGCTTAGCTCTCTTTAATCCCGACCAGTTTCCTCGGTACTCTCACTATCATGAATTGCAAAACGTGGGAACGCCTTCTCTAAGAATTCCGAATCAGCATTTCGACTATATGGCTTATACAATTGCCAAATAAAGTCCCCACATAAGGAGATGATGGGACATACATTTACTGAACTTCAGTCACCTCAATGTGAATGACAATTTAAAAAAATTTTCAGATAGAATAAAAAGCCTTACCAGCATCAGTAGCCTCACACAACCTCCGGCTAATAAATGGAAACCAAGATCTAATCCAATGTAGATAACAAAATATTCTTAGTGTTGGATAAAATCACTTGTGCCTGGGTTGTTGTTACATGATACACTTCATGAATACAGACAAAACTGTTACCTCCAGTATAACAGTAACTAAAGCCTATTACCTTATTTCTTCGTTTAGTGCAACGCACTGTTTTTAACCATGCGACTGGTAACTATTTGTGAATTCGCTAGATGAAGATGAAACTTCTAGCACCAATGCTGTCGTTTATATGCCGTTCTTGCAAATGCCATTTCTCCGTTTGATAAGGAAATACCTGCACTTTAGGCAACCGGAAGATATTCAAACCCTTTCCTGTTTATAACCCTGAAGCCTAGCACCACACCTATAAAAGCTACGAATAAATGCTGATGACTGAAGTTGAATTGAAATTATAGATCGACTGAAGATTCACAGGTCTGGCATCTGTCCTTAAAACACATCACACCAGTATTTGGACGCCGCTGGCTGAGATCCTAACATGATCCATTTTATTGGTTAAGCTTCAGTCATAAGGCTGTCATAGTTAATCTTCAAGGAGGCCAATTAAGTACGCTGACTGAATGACTTCGAGGACATTAACCTGTTGTTTTCAAGTATAAAGAAGGTTTATGCCCATTCTGCCGGACCTGCGCCTTCAACACACAACATGATGACTTGTTGGCCAAATCCACTCTAGCATAGTGGACAGGCTACTCGAAACACTGAGTTAAATATTGACGACAATTTAATGCCGAGGGTCGGTCAAATATGCGTTTATCAACGATTATTTAAAGAAAGCAGAGTGACGTGCAATCACAGCGAAGTGAACCACGCTTCTCCTCCACGAGGATGCAGTCATATGAGTTCACCAAGTATTTATCGAAGTACTCCTGCGCAGTTCCCGAAACTGAAAGAAAATGTCATGGAGGACTGGATCTTCCTACTTATTGGACAATACTGCGTCACGTGATAAGATGTTGATTATTATTTTATTTGAAGATCCAGCACGAATTGTAAGTATTCCACGATCAACTACTCTGGTAATCCAATATTAGTTCTAAACACCTTTAAAATATACGCCAATGAATAGAACTGTTAGCTCTTAAAATTCAGAAACTGTTACTTGGTTATTAGGTTCAAATTCTCTCCTAGCAAACGACTAAATTCTGATGACTTCGTAAACATAACAGGGGAATCAGTTACTTCTAAACCGCGAAAAATAATAGCAGCATTAACTGTCTAAGCAATACACATTTCTCCTTAATTTCTTACCTTTTTGACGTTGCAAGTTCTCTGTTAACTAAGGAATCTGAA